CGCCCTGGCGACGTGGAATTCGAAGACTTCAGCCAGCCCATGAACCGCGCGCCCTCAGACAGCAGCCTGGGTACCCCTTCCGATGGACGGCCTGAGCTCCGAGGCCCGGGCCGCAGCCGTGCCAAACGCTGGCCCTTCAGCAAGAAGAACAAGGTGGGGGCCGGGGCCCTTGGGGTGGGGGTGTGGGTGTGAGCAGGGACAGCGGGGGCCCCCACTGAGTCAGCCGTAGCTGCCGGAACGCTGAGTCCCGGGCAGGAATTTTCCTCTTGGCTGCCAGCCCGGGCTGGAGGGAAGGAAGGCCGCCGGGCGATTGGCCTGGGAGTCCCCCGAGGCGGAGCGGGGGTGGGAGGGGGACCCGTGGCGTCTCTCTGCTGTTTCTCAGGATGCTGGGAGCAGACCTGCTTGTGGGATTCAGGGCTGGGCGAGGGCGCGGGATGCTGGCCCTCGGGACACCCCGAGTGTCTCTCCGTCCTGCCGATGGGTCCCTGACCCTCAGGCTGTTTTTTCTGGGGATTTTTGGCTTTCAATGTCAAGCACATACCTGGACACCCCTGGTTTACACCTTCGACACTCCCCGACGTTTATGCCTTTTACTCTGTTTTATACCCCCTGGTCCCTCTTGATATATTCTTTGATACTCTTTAATTTCTACGTGCACGCCCCGGCTTAAACCCCACCTGTAACCCATCTGATATTTCATGCCTTTGACCCCTTTCTCAGCTTGCCCTTGACCTCTGTGGCCCCATACCTGTCTGAGACCTAGATTCCTGCATGCATCTCCCTCCACCTTCTGGACTGTGAGCCCAGAAAGCTGGGGGGACACAAACATGGGCCTCCCTGCACCCCCAGGTCCCATTCTAGGTACTGGACGTAGGATGCAGGGGACCTGGGACATATGGGGGTGAGGGAGGGATCTGGCCTTCTGGCTCACAGTCTAATGCCCTCCCTGCCACCTCCCAGATTTTTGTGTTGCTCTCTGCATGCGTTTTCTGTGTGTGACGTGGATCTTGAGTTGTGGTTTTCTTACCGTTTTTTTTCTTTTCTCCATTTTGTTTTTTCCTTTTTTCTTTATTGCGTCCGTCCATCCGTCCGTCCATCCTTATTCTCTCCATCCTCCCACTCCTCCTGATCCATCCCCTCCCCGGCCCCCGTCGGTAGCCGCGTCCCCCACCCCTCTCCCCCCTGGGGGGCCCCCTGCCCTCGGCAATGCCTAACGGACCCCCGTCCCCCCGCTCCGGCCTCGACCCCTTGGCCATACTGAGTGAGATCAGTAAGTCGGTCAAACCGCGGCTAGCATCCTTCCGCAGCCTTCGAGGCAGCCGTGGGGTAAGTGAGGCCAGCGGGGGAGGAGGAGGGGGCAGCCCCAGCCCGCCCAGCGGCCGGGTGGCGGGACCCTGGGCTCGCTTCCTGCCGCTGGCTGGGCCCCCTCCTCCCATTGCCCGACCAGGACCCGCTTCGCTCCGTGCATGGCTTTGCCCCCCAAGAACCTTGGGTGGGGAGGAAGGTGGACTTGTGTGTCTTAGGAATATCTTGGAGCCTGGAAGCTCAGCCTCCTTGATCCCAAACTCAGTCCCCTTCCCACCTTACAGACAGTGGTGACCGAGGATTTTAGCCACTTGCCTCCAGAGCAGCAGAGAAAGCGGCTTCAGCACCAGTTGGAAGAACGTAATCGGGAGCTACAGAAGGAGGTCGACCAGAGGTAAGGTGAGGGGGTGGGCAGGTAAGGAACAAAGTAAAATAATCAATGAATTATATTGAAATGGTCCTCAAAAATCTCCCCCCAGCAAACCCCAGGCCCCGATGGTTGTACAGGTGATTCCTACACGTATAAGAAACAGTTACTTCCCATCTTATACTTTTACCACATGTATAAGAAACAGTTACTTCCCATCTTCTACGAGTCATTCCAGCAAACAGAAAAAGAGTAAAAGCCGCCAGCTCATTAAAGAGGCTGGTAGAATCTCAGTTCCAAAATCAGTTAGCAAGAATGCAAGAAAATAAAATTACGGGCTCATTTGACTTCACTTATAATCTTAGGCGCAAAATCGTAGCCAAGCAAATACAATGACGTATTAAAAAATAACACACCACCTGGTGGGGATGGTTGCACAACAATGTGAATGTACTTAATGCCGTGGAACTGTACACGTAAGAAAGGTCCAAATGGGAAATTTTATGTTATGTATATTTTACCATGATAAAGAAAAAATAATTTAAAAAAAAAGACTTCAAAAAAATATATCATGTTCCGTTGGGTCTTATCCCAGTAAGGCAAAGATGGTTCAATATCAAAAAATCTATCCATCTCATTCACCACATTATAAGAAAAAAAAAAAGCATATGGTTATTCATTTAATAACTCAAACCCTTAAAACCTTAACAATAAAAAATCTGCCAGAAGAAAAAAAGGAAATCTTTACTCAGTCTTTCCAGGCAACAAGATCCTCTTCCCAGTGCTCTTACATAATAGGAACAATGTTTGCCACTTGAGGACAGGCGGCCAAATTATATTTTGCCATTTGCACAGAACCTCCTGTACAAAACGGCTTTTATTGGTGTCAAGTTCCATTCAGAACTCTGTAGCTGCTGAATTTTTATGGTGCAGGGGTTAAGGCTTTGGCTGCATGCTCTGGAGTCAGGACAGACTGGCCTCGAATTCCAGCTGTTTTGCCTGTCTGTGCCTCAGTTTCCTCATCCGTAACAGGCACCAGCTGTTAGGCCTGGAAAGAAGCTGAACCCAGGTTTGACATATTGCAAAGATCTATGCTTGTAACCATTACTGCCTGTATATATAGATGTGATAATAATAACGTCTAGCATTTATAGAGTGCTTACTGTATGCCAGGCATTATTCCTAATGCTTCACATGGATTCACTGGAATTCCCAAGTTTTCCTGAGAGACTGAGCAGATGTAGGATCCTAACTATCTTGTTTAGTGCCATATTTCTGATGCCCGGAACAGTATGTGATATGCAGTAGGTACTCAATATGTGTCTGAATAAATAAAGGCACTGTTCTAATCTTCACAGCCACTCACATGAGGTAGATATATCATCCTCATTTTCAAGATTAGCATACTGAGACAGAGTTTCAATAACTTAGGCCAAACTCATACAACTAGGAAGTACCCAGACTGGGATTTGACCCCACACACTGAAGCACCAGCATTCGAGTGTTCACCACTGTCCTATCTTGTTATTTGCTTCTTGAAGCAAAGCCCATGTTTTTTGCTTGTTAAATCACATGGGGCTGTTCCTTCTCGTCTGTCTGTCTGTCTCGTCCTAGGGAAGCCCTGAAGAAAATGAAGGATGTGTACGAGAAGACGCCCCAGATGGGGGATCCTGCCAGCTTGGAGCCCCGGATCACAGAAACTCTGAACAACATCGAACGGCTGAAATTGGACGTGCAGAAGTATGAGGTCAGGGAAGACCCTGGGGAGGGGCGGGGGCCCGCGGGCCTGGCTGAGTCACTGCCCGTGGGAGTGTTGGGGGGGGCAGGGTGGTGTAGGGGGGACTCCAGCTGTTTCTCATCACAGCCTTGGGTGTGCATGGATGATCTCAGGGAACCTCCGGATCCAGAGTAGGCTGACCCCGGAGCCCTGCCCTGGAACTGACAGTGTAGTCCCCTCTTCTCAGGCTTGGCTGGCAGAAGCTGAGAGCCGGGTTCTGAGCAACCGGGGGAACAGCCTGGGCCGGCACGTCCGGCCTCCAGACCCCCCAGCCAGTGCCCCCCCAGATGGCAGCAGCAACAACAACGCATCACAGGACAACAAGGAGAGGTAAGCAAGGAGGCCAAAGTGGATCCGGCCCTGGGACCCGGGAGGCCTGTCCTCCTTACCTGCCTTGCTCTCCCCAACCAGCTCTGAAGAGCCCCCCTCGGAGGAAAGTCAGGACACCCCCATCTACACGGAGTTCGATGAGGATTTTGAGGAGGAGCCCGCATCCCCCATAGGTCACTGTGTGGCCATCTACCATTTTGAAGGTGAGGACAACTTGGGTGGCCCATGAGTTGCTTTGTGGGGGGAGGGGTGTCTGGGTCGGTTTTGTTTAAATTCGCCTAAAGCAGACCTGAGCCCACCACCACCCCATGACAGGGTCCAGCGAGGGCACCATCTCCATGGCCGAGGGTGAAGACCTCAGTCTCATGGAAGAAGACAAGGGCGACGGCTGGACCCGAGTCAGACGGAAACAGGGAGGTGAGGGCTATGTGCCCACCTCCTACCTCCGGGTCACACTCAACTGAGACCTGCCCGAGGCGGGAAGAAGGGGGCTGTTGGCTGCTGCTTCTGGGCCACGGGGGGCCCCAGGACCTACGCACTTTATTTCCACCCCTGGTGGCTTCGGCTGAGACCTGTGTAACCTGCTGGCCCCCACCCCACTCCTCACCCCAAATGGATCCACTGTGCCTTCCACCATCGATGTACATACTCATGTTTCAAATCTTTTCTTCCTGCCGCTCGGCTAGGGCCATTTTTGTTTTATATAAAAAAAAAGTTATATAAAGCTCTTGGAGTCTGAGCCTTATTAGATTTACATACTGGGGCTGGACATTCAAATACCACCTGCCTGATGGGCCACACGGGGAATGACTAAGGGAGGTGAACTTGGGCACACCTGGGACAAACGCTGCCCCTTCCTGGGATTGGTGCTTGTCTGTGACTCTAGTTAGTATAGGGAGAAGGGTGCCAGACGTCGTCCCTTTGGTGTTCATAGCAGCTTACTGAGAACAGATAGGGTTTACTGAGCACCTACTGTGTGCCAGGCATTCTCCACCCAGGAACACATTTAAATGTGGAGTTTTAATCCCCACAATAACCCCTCGAAAGTATACAATCTTACTTTTATGTTGAAGGCAGGCACAGAGAGGTCAAGTGATCTGCTAGAAGTCACACAGCATTTTAAAGACATTTGAACGCTGGCTTCTTACAGATCTGCTAGTTCTCTTATCATTAAAAGGCACAGGTTCACCACTGTGGGATGTGTGCCTAGGGGTGGGGTGGGGAGTGGGAGAGGGTATCCAGAACTTCCAGACACCCGGGACTTTAGTGCGCTGGAAGCTGCCCCCGCTCCAAGATTCGTGTCCATTTTGGGGGAACAGGGTGGGTTCTTGCAAACCTGGCCTCCCTCCCTTCTGTGAGGCAGGATGCGGGTCCCCACCCCTTTTGGCTGTGTGAACAACCTGGGGTGACTTCTTGGTCTCCCGCCGGGGTCCCCTGAAGCCTGGGTGTCGCAGGGTGAAGAAGAGGGTCTGCGCTTTCAGCGGTCAGGCTCCAGGCGCTGCGACAGGACGCTGAGGACGCGCTGAAACTTCTCGAGACGCGCGGCGCGGGGCGCCCCCGCGCCCCGGCTCCCCCAGAGCAGCCTCCGCACGAAGCCAGTGGTCAGCGCCTCCCTCAGCTCCGGGTTCGGACGGAATCCTGGAAGCAGGGCCAGGCGGGCTGGGGGCGTGGCCCTGGCGCCTGCCTCGCCCCTCCCCGCACCTGCCTTCTCTGGGGACTTTGACCCAGCAGGGGCCAGGAGGGTTTCAGCTCCAAGCACTCTGGACGACTGCGCGGGGCTTGGGGGCGGGGGCTCCCGAGTCTGCAGGAGTGGGGTGGAGGTGGGCTCTGCCAGGGTGCATGGGGGCTGTCTGTTCTATGGGCGAGATGCTGGGGGGCCCACCTTAGGGGCAGTGCCTGGAAATGGAGCCGCCCCAGGGGCAGTATTTGGGGTCCGGGCCGCCCCGCGCGGCAAATGCGAAGGGAAGTTGGGCCATGTGGGAGCGAGAGGAGGGCTAAGGTCGCCAGCGAGGGTGGGAATGACCCAGGTAGGGGATTCTGGAGGCTGCGCTGCCCCAGAACAGGACGGAAGAGTGGCTCTGAGCGCAGAGGGGGCGCTGTTCTCCTATCAGGTTGAAGGACTCATTTTGGAGGGAGCTGGGCGTTCTTGGGGGGATCGAGGTTCCCGGGGGGCAAAACCAGCCCAGATGGGAGAGTGGGAGTAAGACCTCGTCCCTGGGTAGGAGCGTGGCTCTGGTGGCGGGGCCGCCCCTTTTGGCGTGGAAGGCACTATTCCCGCCAACACTGCTGGTAGCAGCGCTTGCTTGGGGCGAGAACCCTCTGGGTGCGGGGCTGTCCCAATTTGGGTGGGACTCTGGGAGGCGTGGCAGGAGGCTCTAGTCCCTAGCCCGGTGGGTTTTTGGGACCCGGTTAGAGCATGCGGGGTGCTCCTAAAGTCGGGACCCTCTGACAGCGGGCGCAGTGGGGGCGCTCACCTCGCAGGCGCCCGGCCGCCGCCTTGCGGAATTTGGGCGCGTCCCGGGCCATCTGACGCGCCCCGTGCAGGGTGCGCAGCAGCCGCTCGCAGCTCTCGTCTAGCGGCCCCGGGAGTTCCTCGCCCTCTAGCAGGCGCACCGCGGGTGCCACGTGCGGCAGGGCCACCTCGCCGGGGTCGCAGGGTCCTGCGGGGGGAAAGGGCTGGGCTGGGCTGGAGTGAGGGCAAGGGGCAGGGCCTAGGGTGAAGAGGGTGGGATATGGGGCCGAGGCGGAGCCTAGGACAGAAGCGACGGGCGGGGCTTGGGGCAGACTCTGAGGCTTGAGCCCAGGGCAGAGCTGAACAGGGTCAAGGGCGTGGCCTAGGCCAGGGGCGGAGCCTAGGACAGAGTCAAGGCGGGGCCTAGGCGTGGGGTCCAGGACGGAGCCTAGCGCAGGGGGCGGAGCCTATGACCGTGTGGGCGGGGCCTAGGCGTGGGTCCAGGACGGAGTCTAGCGCAGGGGGCGGGGCCTAGGGCCGGGGCGGAGCCTAGGACAGAGTCAAGGCGGGGCCTAGGCGTGGGGTCCAGGACGGAGCCTAGCGCAGGGGGCGGGGCCTAGGGCTTGGGCGGAGCCTATGACCGTGTGGGCGGGGCCTAGGGATGGGGTCTAAGAGGGAGCCTGGCACAGAGCGGCGGGGCCTAGGGCGAAGAGGGAGGAGCCTATGGTGAAAGGACCGAGCCTAGGACAAACAGTTGGCAGAACATAGGGCCACAGTGGAGCCTAGCGCGGAAGCAAGGGGAGGGGTTTGGGAACAGGCTCAGAGGCTGGAGCCTAGCACAGAACTGGACCTGAGTCAAGAGCCGGGACAAGGGCAGGGGGCGGAGCCTAGGGCAGAGTGAGGGCGGGGCATAGGAAGAAGGGGGCGGAGCCTCTGATTGGAGTAGGATTCTGGTTAGAGTTGGTGTGGGGTCCAAATGATGCCCCTTACCGGCGCCCTCGTCCAGCGCTCGCATCAGCGGCTTCAGCTCCTGCTCGAAGGCCAGCGCAGCCTCGGTGTGGCTCCTTCGGAGCTGCCGCCACGTGTGTTCCAACCGGGACACCTGGGGGAGGAGACCTGAGCTTGCCTCCTCTCCGCTCGTCCCCATCACTTACGCTCGGGCTTCCTCGCCAGCCTTGCTTCCCACGCACCTGGGGCATGAGCAAGGCGCCCATGACGGCGGCCAGTCCGGGCAGGTCCCCCGCCGCCCCTGGCCGCAGCGCCAGCGCCAGCTCCACCAGGCCCCTCAGGGCGGCCGCGCGCTCCTCCAGAGGCCCCGCGCAGCCCAGCACCGCCAGCGCCCCGGCCAGCGCCAGCACCTCGTGCCTGCAGAGGCGGAGGGCAAGGGTCTGGGGGCAGTGGGGAGGTTTGTAATGCGGGGGTGAGGGGGCACAGGAGGTGGCATTGCCCATCCCCCCTCGTCCCTGGGGGGCCGTGAATGGGGGGGTGATTTGGACACCCTGGGGATTCCAAGTGGCTGGCTCACCTCTCCAGCAGTTCCAACCTCAAGCGGTGCCCATGGGGAAGGGTGAGCAGCTCCAGGCCAGAGGGGACCCCCATGGCGTCCCGCTGGGCCTTGGTCACTCCCAAGAGGCCTGTGGCCTAGAGGCGGGTGGAAGGCAGTGGGAAGGATAAGTGAGCAGTGAGTATATGTGTGTGAGGTGCATTAGGCCCTGCTCTGGCTTCAGCCCCTGCCTGGGGAGGAGGGACTCACCTGGCAATCCACCAATAGCAGGTGGAGGGCAGTCTTCCCAGGATGGTGCTCCAGGAACAGCCCACGGAGAGTACGCAGGACTTCAGGTTCCAGGGGCCGGTTCTGGGGGCCCAGCATGCAGAAGGGGTTGTCAGGGGGGCAGAAGGAGACCTCAGCCTGTGGTCTTGAAAAACACCTGTTCTCTTCCTCCTTCTCCTCCTCCTCAGCCTCCCACCATAGGGCCTCTGGCTGTGGGTGGCTGTGGCCAGCGGGTGTTCCCTGGGCACTGGGTACTCGGGGCACCAGCTCACAGTACGTGGGGGGACGTCCAGAGGCATCGGGCAGCATCAGGGAGGGTGTTCGAGGTGGCTTGGTTGGTGCCTTGGCATGAAGCTGCCCATCGGAGGCCCTGAGGCTGTCAGCAATGGATGCCAGGGGAGCTGGGGTCTTCAGCAACACAGGGTCACTACCCGTCCGAGGCAGGGTAGATGCAGGCACAGCGGAGGCTCCTAGGGGTCATCCAAGGGGGGCGAAAGGGGTACACAGAGAATATAGCTGGGTGGGGTCGGGGGGCTTCATGGCCTACCACCCTCCTGGTTTATCCACTTATTCAGCCAAAAATTGGGTATCCCAACCTATCTTGGTGCAGCTTCAAATTTTAACAATTTCACCGGTATAAATGCTACACACTTACCAATGGTTTGAAAATGAACTTTCTCTGACACTTACGTAGTTTTACGAATTCTGAATACTACATTTTACATTTGAAGCTTTTGTTTTTGCCCCTCTGATTGAAGATGGTAAGCCTTGACCGTACAAGATTAAAATAAAAAATAGATTATTTGAAATTCACAAAAACTACATGAGCATCAAAGAAACTGAATTTATCAAACTTTCAAATGATGTCTTCTGTTAAGTTTGTGGCCTGTTTACTTCTGAGGTTATTAGAACTTAAAAGTGAACCCAGACTTTTGGGAGACTATATTTAGCAAGTCTTTAAATAGACCCTGTTAATGGGGTGTAAAACCTTCCCATGGTTCCCAGTTCACTCTGAGTGAGGGCCAAAGTCCTTGTAGTAGCCAAAAAAGCCCTCACAATCTGAGCCTCAGATCTCTCTCTGACTTTCCCTTCACTCCCACTGCTTCAGTCACACTCACCTCGTTTTGGTTGAAGGAGCAGTTCAAACTCTTATTCTGACCACAGGACCTTTGCACTGGCTGTTCCTTCTGCCTGCGCCACCTCTCACCCCCAGTTATCCACATCATTCCTTCCCTCATCTCCTTCAGATCTTTCTCCCTTGGGCCTTTCCTGACTGCTACTTAAAATTGTCATTCTCACTCCAATCCCTATACTCCCAATCTCCGTTACTCTGTTCTGCTTTTAATTTTTACCCCCAAACATACGTAATTGACATATTTTTGTTGTTCATGATCCGTTTTCTTCTAGCAGGATTTTGGCTCCACTGGAGCAGGGATCTTTGTCTTTCTTGTTCATTGATGTGTCTCAGCACTTAGGATGGTGCCTGGCATGCAGTGAGGGCTCATGTTGAATGAGGGGGGCAGAGGAGATGGGGCAGATGGAACAGACAGGAAGGGGGAGTCCTCCTTTAGGTAGGATAGTCAGGGTCAGCAGCTTTGAGGAACTCACATTAGATGAGAAGGAGTCAGTCAGGAAAAGATTGGGGGAATGGGCTTTCCAATGGCCAGAACAGCAAGTGCAAAGGCCCTAAGGCAGGAATATGAAATATGAAATATGAAATATGAATATGAAATATGAAAGGTTCCAGCAACTGAAAGGAAGACCGTGTGATTGGAGTAAAGAGGGAATGCGGCAGGAGCTGTTAGAGAGGTCAGCCATGGTCAGAACACATAGGGCTTCTTGGAATAATCATAAACCCACATTTTTAAGCACCTGCAAAGTTCCTGTGTGTTTTTAAATCACGGTGACAACTTTAAGAGCATTATTGTCGCCATTTTCCAAGAGGTTAAGTTACATGCCCAAGATCGCTCAGGCAGTGAGTGGCAGAGCAATCTCTGAGCTGTGTGCTGTCCTGGTAGACCCTCACCTTCTCTTGACTGTCCCATGTGCTCCAAGCCTGCAGGCTGACTGTCACTCCACTTCCGAGCCCTGCGGGACAGACATGGGGACAATGTGTAGCCCTACCTTGAGCAGGGAAGCCCCCACCGATGCCCAGAAACCCCTACCTCCAGTCACTCAGGTCCAGTGGATCTCAACTACGGTGCTCTACCCCCAAGGGACAATTGGCAATGTCAGGAGACATTTTTTGGTTGTCACAACTGGAGGGTGGGGCAAGGAAGATTCTATTGGCATTTAGCGGATGGAGACCTGGGTGCTGCTCGACATCCAGCAATGCACAGGCCACCCACAACCAAGAATGATCCATCTGCAAATGTCGATAGCTCCGAGGTGGAGAAACCCCGGGGGTGTTGGGTGTCATTGGGACAGAAGGAGCTAGAGAGCACCTGAGCGGCTCTGTCTGAGCTGGGCTGTCTAGGAGGGTGTCCTCGCTAAAGCTGCGTCGAATAGGCTCCTGCCGCGTCACAGGCCTGGAGGCCACAGCCCCTGTGGCCTGGGACAGTGGACGCTGGCCGGTCACGTAGCTGCGAACCAGGGCGGGCAGGCTTGGAAAACGTTCATCCTCCAGCTGAAAGAGTGTTGTGGGCCGGCCTGGCCGGGGACGCAGGGCCACACGGAGCACTTCGAAGTGGAGGGCCAAGCCCCGCCAGCGGCAAGAGATCACAGGGTGGCCCCCACGGGACCCAGACGCACGAACCAAGAAGTCACCATCTTGCTGAAGGAGGGCCTCTGCCTTCTGGGGATGGAGGACAGGGAGCAGAGGGCTTAGGTATGAGCCCAGATCAGCAATTAACAGTAACTCCCTACCTCCACTCCCCAACTCAGGAAAAGCCACCCGAGAGACTGGGTAGTTTTGCACCAAACCATTTTCCCTTTTCCCGTGGGCATACCTCTGGACTACATTTCCCAGGCTCCCTTGCAGTTAGAGTCATCATGCGCCACGATCTGGCCAATGGGATGAGGGGAATGTCCAGACCTGGCCCATAAAACCCTCCTGCACAATCCTACAGGTTCTGTCCCCTATCTGTCAGCTGATATTCCCAAAGCCCTGGGGGATGGCAGAGCCACAAGATGAAAAGGGCTTGGGTCCTGATTGATTGACATCTTGGGAATGTTTGTTATAGCAGATAGCCAACGCTGACTAATGCAACTTGCAATCTGAGTAAAGGCACTGGGCTTGCTATGCAAATGTGGCTTCAAGAAAAGCCATTAGCTGGATCCTTCCAAACAGATTGTGGCCTATAAATCCTCCTTTATAAAAATACTCAAGCAGTTTTATGCCAGCTGTGGCGGCTGGTGCTAAAACAGGGGCTGAGGGCCATGACGCCAGAGACAAGGCAGAGCTGGTGATGGGGGCTGGGGCCTGAACAATACATGCAGTGGACACATGTCGAGCCCTATTGTATGCCAGGCACTGCTTTAGGTGTAAAACACATGAACTCATTTAATCCTTTAGCAAGGTTAAGAGGTAGGTACCATGATCCTCATTTTACACATGGGGAAACTGAGGCCCAGAGAGGCCAAATACCTTGCCCTAGGTCACACAGGATGTAAGTTGTAGGGCTGGGATTTGAACCCAAGATGTCTGGCGCTAGGGGGTGGGTTTTAACCACTAATCTACACTGCCTCTCATGATTTCACTCCTGGGGGTGATACTTGAGCTGGAGACGAGGGTGGGGAGGCATGGAGTGAGAGGGAGATGGGGCCCTGGTGGCCACAGGTGCCTGGGACCCAGAGAGAGAGACAAGCAGAGCCAAGGGGTGTTTTGAGGGGGCATGAAGACCCTCTTCCATCTCCATCACCCTCCTCAACACCATCCCAAAGAAAGCGATAATTTAAATATAAGGAGTGACGTGCCACACCAACCACGCTTCAAGACAGTCTCCAGTCCCCCAGCCACCCCCTCCAACAGACCTTGACCCTAAGTCCCTCATCTGGGACCCAGGAGTCCCCAGTAAGTCAGGGGCATGACAGGCTCCCCATCAGATGGTGCTGAGGCCCTGCAGGAGGCAGCCATACCTGGCGGGACAGTGGGCCGTGGTACCAGGGTTGGCCAGCAAAGTCCTCTCCATCCTGTGGCACCTGCATGGAGTTCTTGGGGGCAGAGGGTGCAGGGGCTGAGCTCTGTACTGTCAACAGGCCTCAGTCTTCCGCATCTGTAAAATGGGAACAATTATTCCTGCTTCCTGAGTGGCTGGGTCGGCCCTTCCATGTTCCTCTTGGTTTTGGAGACAGTAGCCCACATCCTATCAACCTTAAAATGCAGCTCTCTCTCTCAGAGTATGTATATGTATGTGCCTATATATATAATATAAATTTTTATACATACTATATAAATATATATATCATATATTTGTAAATATATTATTTATTATATTATATAAATACATATTATATTTTAAATTAAAGTTACTCACAGTCAGATTTTATTTATATATCTATGCCAGATATATAAATATGCCAGATATTTATATTTATATACCTATGCCAGATATATTTATATATCTATGCCAGATTGAACATATTTTATATATATATATTTATTTACATTTATATACATGTATATATGTATGTATGTATATATACATTTATATATATATATATAAAATCGGGCTATGAGTAACTTTAATTTAGAATTGGCTGTGATTTAATGGAAACAGTCATGCATTCACCGGGATTCTTGCAAAGGGAGAACACCTATGCATTGCTTTCAAATGTACAGTAACGCCATTTTTATACAGATCACATAATGCTATGTTTGGTAGAAATTTAATTAATTCTCTCAAACCAATATTTACAGGGTGCCCGCTGTGTGCCAGGCACTATTCTAGGCACGAGAGACCCAGCAGTGAACAAAACAGATGGGAATCCCTGCCCTCGGGGGGCTGCAGTCTAGGGGGCGTGACGGTGGTTAAGAAAACAAATAAGTGGATGGAGGAGTAGATCAGAGAGAGCTAAGCAGAAAAACGAAACCAGTGATGGGATATGAAGATTCAAGTGGTGCAGTTAAATTTTTCTATAGGAAAAAAAAATTTCCATAGGGTGGCCCAGGAAGGTGTCACTCAGTGATGACTGGAAGGATTTTGAGGGAGCGAGCCAGGTGGCTCTCTGGGTGAGAGAACATTCTGGGCTGGGGAGTATTTACTTGACTAATGTCCATACCTTCTTAGCAATCTTTGTGCACACTCAGCATTCTTAGGATGTAAGAAAATCTAACCCATACCTGGCTTTCCAGTGGAACACCATTTTTAAGGAGGTTAAAAGGTCACATTTTTGTAGAAATGTCAGCAAACAGCAATTTTATATTTGCAGATTCTTATATTTTTGGAGCCGACACATTTCGTTATTATTATGGTCAAATTTAGGTCTCAGATACTTTGGGACTCCCATGATCATCTCACAGGCCTCAGGCCCTGTGTGTGTCAAGTGGCTGGTGGAGAAAATTCGCCTTGGGGGGGATGGGAGGGAAGGAGGGGGTCTGCGTCTCACTGCCCCCTACCCCCCAAGGTTTTCTGAGCCTGGAGCGGTCTGCAGAGAAATAGCACCAGGATTCTTATGTCCTGAGTCAGCCCAGGCTGAGCGCCTGAAAAGGGCAGGAAGTTCCCAGACCAGCCCTAGGTGGCTTCAGGGGCAGGGAGCTGGCTCTAGGCACTGCATACCTGAGTGCCAGGTGTGTCTCCTGGAAGCCTGTGTACTTCCTGTTTGTCAGCTGCACCAGGACAGGCCTTCATCTTAAGAGTCCCCCAATTCCAGGTACCTCTGTCTCATGCCCCCCTGAGTGGGTGTGGAGGTGCACCACTGACAAGGCTCTGGTTAGTTCGGAGGGAGCTCAGGGTGGGCACAGGTCAGCCACAGGCCGACTAAATCATTCTCCTGCTCTATGCCTTTTGGAATAATCTCTGGATATTTGGGCAGGAAAAGGAGGAAGGGGGCAGAATCAGGAGAGGGGGTGGGGTAGGGGCAAGCACGGAGACAGGAGGGAGGGGATTATTTATGCCCTACAGACCACATACATGTGCACACATTTGCAGGGGGGCAGCCACCTGCACGTGGGCACGTGGACGCAGGTGGACACAGAGACTGAGACTTGACCTTGAGCAAACACTGACTGAGCCCTGACTGAATGCCAGGCGCTGTTCTAGACTCTGGAGATAAAACGATGGATGAGACGGAGGCCTTGCCCTGTGCCGTCTGGTGGGCAAGACACTCACAAACAAGCACACAATGAATGAAGAAGATGATGTCTAAGAGTAATCGAAGAAGGTGATGAAACTGGGAGCTGTGAAAAAGAAGGCTGGAGGGGACAGGCTACTTTGGCGTAGCCAGGAAGGTCTGTCCCACCAGGTGACGTTGGAGCTGAGACCTCAGCAAAGGAAAGGAGACAGTTATGCAAAGATTTGGAGAAAGAGCAGTCCAGGTGGAAGATACAGCAAGCGTAAAGGCTGGGAGGCGGGATGGAGCAAGGAGTTGAATGGAGAGGGCAGTGGGGTCAGGGAAGCCGGCAGGGGTGAGACCGTGCAGGAACTGATGGACCCCGAATTTTCACCTTAGTGGGATGGAATGGGGGCCATGGAAGGCAGGGTTTTAAGTGAGGGAAGGGCACCATCTGATTTGTGGTCTACAAACATCGCTCAGGCAAAAGTGGAAGCAAGGCGGCTTTCCGTGTTGCACAGGAAACATGCTTAGAGGAGCACGCCCAGGTACGCCCAGGTACATGGACAGGCGTGACGCACGGCGACCCAATCAGGCACCTGGCGACCCCTTCTGCGTTCGCGGACGCGCGTGGACAGACGCCCAAATCCTCCCCGCGAGCAGGTGGTCCCACCTGGAAAAGAGAGGACTCCTCACCCCAATAATTCCCTGGTCCTGGATCCGCCCGGGGCCCCTCACTCACCTGGGCCGGGACCCGCGGAGCTCCCGAGAGGCTGGGGCCGGACCGACGCCTGAGGCTCTGCGGCTCCGGGCCCCTCCCTCCCCGCCCCAGCCAGGTCCGGCCTTCCCCGGCCGCGCCTGGTGGCAGCCGAGCCCAAACACCTGGCCCCGCCCCTGGAAACCACGCCCCTACAGACCCCGCCCCCTTCGGACCCCGCCTCCAACTGTAACCACCCAGGCTCTAGCCCCGCCCCCTCGTTCCCGCCCCGCCCCCTTAGAACCTGTCTTTGCGCTAACCACGCCCCTTTAGATGACACCGCCTTCCCCGTAGACCACGCCCCCTTGGGAACTCCGTGCGTCCGGTCCAGTGGGCCCCGCCCCTTTATAACGTCACCCGCCCTCCTCCGACTGGCCACGTCCACTTAGCTCCAGGCCCCTTTCCGAGCCCCTCCCCTGAGAATTCGGCCCCTTGGTTGCCCTCAGGCTGGCCCTCGCACCCTTGGCCCCTTGGGACGGGGGAGAGTGATGTCTCCTCTCCTGGTCCCCCAGAGTTCCGGGCGGGGGCGGGGCGGCCCCTACGGGCTCTCTCGCTCGGCAGGGGGTGGCGGCAGCTGTGACGTGGAGGGGTGCGCTTCCTCCAGGCCGCCCCCCGGGGTTTCCGGGAAAGGAACCCCAGCCGAATGTCAGGTTTTGTGGAGACAGATGCGGGAACACACGACCGCTTCCTCCAGTGACAGCACGATGGAGTTGAGCTAGACTCTGGGGGGACATGGGGAGGGAAACATTCAGGTGGTTTCCCAGCTGGGAGGAAAGGAGGCGGGGAGGGGGCGTCCGTCGCGAGGCCTGGAAACAAGCATAAGAAAGGTTGGGGGCGTCTGGATCGAAAGAGACGACTCTCTGGCCACGTTTATCGAAGGCTCATCACAATAGCAACGGTATTGAAAGCGGTAGCCACAGCCAACATTTATTGAACGCTTACTGTATGCCAGCACCGTTCTGCTTGCTCGATCTGCCTCAGCGCATTTAATTTTTACACAGACTTCTCAATGAGGTAGCGACCATTTTCATCACCCCCATTTTCCAGAGGCAGAAACTGAGGCCTGGGGCAGCTCAGCCATTTGCACAAGTTGCCCCGGCGGCTTGCGAGGGGTCGAGGTGGGAGGCAAACCCGGAGCCCTGGGGCGTCATCCTGTCTTCCTCGCCTTCGCCTTTGCAGTTCCATCATCTCTGATCCCTACCGTATTTCTAAACAGTGAAGGGTACTGTCTCCCATCTTGCAGATGAGGAGATTGACGCCTAGAGAGCCAAGGATGCTGGGGGATGAAAAGTTTGGGTGCCTGTAGGATCGCAAAGCTGGGCATTTCCAGGCTGGGTTTTCCCACCCCCCCGCCCCCCTGCCAATGTGGAAGAGACTCCAGGCTCAGGAGGGGCTGAGGGGAGTGTCTTTCCCTTGACCCCCTCCCGCCTAGTCTTGGTACAGTCAGAGGGCAGGGGGTATGTCCAGTGAAGGGGTCTAGCGCCCCCTTGTGGTTATAAGAATTAAAAAAAAAAAAACAAAAACAACCCAAGGTGGGTACCAAGAGAGATGGAGAAGGGAGGTGACGGTACTCACAGTCTAGCCGGGCGGAGGTGGGGAGACAGACCTTGTAGACAAGATGATTCAGATAGTGATCAGGGCTACGGAGACAGTAAACGTTTGCTAAACGAATAAATTAACGAACGACACTATTGAACTCTGTAAGGAGAGAGACGGTGGTGGCCATGGCCGTGGGGACAAATGGATGGATTTGGGAAAAATGTCAGAGGTAGAGCCAACAGAGCTTTCAACCATTTATTCATTCAACAGCTATTTATGGAGCATGTATATGTGCCAGGTGCTGGGGGGTGAGAGGGGGGGGCATCCAGCAGCACGTAAGAGACAAATTTCTAAATAGACAATAAAGGAATAAATATAATAAAGTATCAGATTTGTCGGACAGTGATCAAGGCTTAATGTAGGGAGGTGGGATAGGGTGTGAAGGGGTGGGGAAGATCGCTGTGATTTGAAATGGGGAGGTTTGGGAAGACTTCATGAGAAGGGGACATTGAGCAAAAACCTGTAGGAAGTGAAGGAGCTAGCCAGGAAGTTGCCTAAGGCAGAGGAACAGCAGGTGCAAAGGCCCCGGGGCAGGATCGTGTATTGGAGGGACATTGAAGAGGCCTGTGTGGCTGGAGCAGAGTGAGCGAGGGGGAGAGAGGGAGGAGGGGAGGGTGGGGAGGGAATGGGGCAGGTCATGCAGGGCCTTGTGGGCTGCAGGGAGGACTTTTACCACGAATGAGGTAGGCTGTGAGAAGAGGAGGGACATCAAGACTTGACTCAGATGCTCACTGGTGCCCTCTGCTACGGGGAGGACAGACCGTGGGGGCAAGGACGGGAGCCCGGGGACCAGGGTGGAGAAGACTGCACTGGTCCAGGCTAGGATGATGGGGGCTGGACCAGGATGGGGGCAGAGGAGGGAGGAGTGAGAGGAGGACGGATTTTGGGGTGCTTATAGGTTGGCTGTGGAGGACAGGAGCAGGCCTCCATCCGGTTAGCCTGCCTCCACCTGCAGCCCCCGACTCCCAGCAGCCCAGCCTGTGTTGAGTTGGTGAAGGGCAGAGAGGGAGGTCCAGCGCGGAAGGGGCTGGGCTGGGCTGCAGGTGCTCCCCCCGCCCTCCCACCCCCCAGGGCTCCTCCCCCTCCACCCCCTCACAGGGCGACAGTTACAGGCAAAGAAGAGGAAGTGATAGTGGGAGCTAGCTAGCACAGGCAGGCAGGAGGGCAGGCCGGCGGAGGAGGCCTCGAGGGTGTGCGGGCCGGCCCGGGAAGGCAGCCGCCATGGAGCTGTGGCGCCAGTGTACCCACTGGCTGATCCAGTGCCGCGTGCTGCCTCCCAGCCACCGCGTGACCTGGGATGGGGCCCAGGTGTGCGAGCTGGCACAGGCCCTTCGGGATGGGGTCCTCCTGTGCCAGCTGCTCAACAACTTGATGCCCCACGCCATCAACTTGCGTGAGGTCAACCTGCGCCCCCAGATGTCCCAGGTGAGTCCGCCGCCCGCCGGGGTGTCAAGGGTGGGAGGTGGGGGGCACCCCGGGCGGGCACCCGGGGGGCGATGCACTGCACTTCTGGGCCGGCGATGTAGAGGAGAATATGCTCCCGACTGGGGCTGGCACAGGGGGTGTAGGGGCGGTGTCGGGGGTGGTAACGCTCTGAGGGTCTGGAATCGCCCACCCAAGCTTAACAGGGATGGGTTAATAGGCTCTGAGTTAACCCACATCGAGGCTGAGAATTGGCAAACTTAGGGTTAACAGTCCCCAGCCCCAGGCTGACTCCACTGGGGTTCAAGCCCCCAGAAGGGACCCTGTGGAGGTCTTGCGGGGTGACTAGGAAGCCCGTGGGTGGCCGACAGGGGGCCTCAAGTTTTTGACTTCTTTGAACCCCTCAGATTCCGGCTATGGGGGAGGGGCCTCCACCGACTTCTTCCCCCACATGTGTCTCCTCCTCCAGAGCCCTGGGCCCCTTCCTTCCCCTCGCATCTTCTTCCCCTTGGCTTCCTGCCTGGGCCTGGGGCGGCATGGGGCGGCTGGGGGGCTGCAGACCCGGGGCTCCGGTCTTCCTAGCTCCATCCATCCCAGGGGGGACATGGAGGCAGGACCTGGTCCTGAGCCTGGAGAGCAGGTCCTGAGGTTTTGGAGCCTAGAAATAACTGCTCTTTCTCTGTAGAGATTCTGCAAGGGCCCAGGGTCCAGGCGGAGGGAGATTTGACTGTGACCGCCCAGGGCTCAGGAAATACATTCAAATCCTTATTTGAATGCGGTTGGGGTGGGGGAGGTAGAGAGACTGGATCCTCTCTCTGAAGCTCCTTCTCTGGTTCCCTATGGCCTCCTGGGTGCTGGGTAGAAGGGCTGTATGCTGCGAGCTGGGGGCTGGGGGCGCCCTGCCTGCCCTGGGGGGCTGAGGGACACTTGCCCTCTGCCTTCGGGCTCCACTTTGGAATGAAAGCCTTGTCTTGGGGTGCTGTGGGTGTTGGGGGGTCCTCCTCTCTGGTCCAAGGTGCCACGTGCAGATGGGGGAGGGGAGGTAACTGCCTAGGGAGCGGGGCCCACGGGGGTCCCTGGGGGTGTTTCCCTGGGACAGGGCCGTGGGTGGGAGAGGTGGGTACCCCTCCCTCCCTAGCTCAGGCAGGGCTTCCTGAAAAGACGAGGGAACCTCGTCGGCCCCCTTCCCCCACGGCCAGCTCCGCTGGCCAGAGGCCATCTCAAATTTGCCTACATTTACTTGCCTCCTTCTGGCTTCCAGCACAGGAGGAAGTAGCCATAGGGACTTGGCAGGCCCCAGAGCTACAGGCAGTCAAGGTCCCCGGTGAAGCTTCAATAGCAGCCAATGGAAAAGTGGGTAGACTTAAGGATGAACTAACATCCCTGCCCACATCTTACATACAGCTGGTTCTCTGATGAAGGACAAGCGGGCCTGGCATTAATCTCTAGGAGGGCAGCTTCAGGAATGCAGGGAGGCGTCCTAATTCTCTGTGCTGAGGCCCAGGCCTGGCCCTCAAGGGGCTCCCCCTTAAGGGAGAGAGACAGACACTCCCAGCCCTTTGTTGTCAGGACTGGGGCAGAGGGAGCGACCTCTGGGCTGGGGGCCCTGGAGCAAAGGTGAGACATTTCCTGGGGGAGTTGAGCTTTATGCAAGAGGGGACATTTGGGTGGGGTTTTGAAGGGTGAGTAGGAGCTTTCTCATTGTTCTGGCTTCCTGTGCCCAGCTGTGTCAGGCCCCAGGCTGGGCAGGGGTGTTTCCTAATCTTCCCTGTCTGGGAACTCTGTGTCTTCCTCCCCGTCTGTGCCGCTTCCCTTTTTGTCTCCGTTGTCCTGAGTCCCGTTCACAGTGGGGATTTGTGCGGGAAGCTAAAAGGCAGTCACATCAAGCCAGAGGGAGGAGCCAAAGTACAGCCTCTCTGGGTTTGCAAGTCCCTGTCTGTCAACAGATCTAAGCTGGGGCCAGGAACTGCCCATGGGCTATGGAAGGGCAGAGAGAGAAAACGGAGGGTGCTCTTGATCGAGGAACAGCATACATACAGGCGTGGAGGATGGAATTAGGATGTTTCCCAGTTTCTCTCATTTTCTCTTCGTAATTCCTCTGCTCTTGCACAGTTATTTCCAGGGAAGAGGGCAGGAAGAGCATATTCATTCATTCATTCATACATTCATCAACAATTATGATGCATGCTAGGACTCTTCTTGGTGCTGAGACAGTGGGAAAAGACACACACAAACCCCTCTTGTTGAGGAGGCTGCATTCTAGTGGGGAAGACAGACAGCGAGCAAATATGGAAACAGGTACATTGTCAGGAGGTGGTATATGTTCTGAAGGAAAAAATCAGGAAAGGGGGCTCAGGAGTGTGGGGGTTGCACTTTTGAATAGGGGGTCCGGGAGGTCTCACTGATATGGTGACATTTGAGCAGAGACCCGGCGAAAGGGAGAAAATGATCCATGCAACTCTGGGGAAACAGTGTTCCTGGCAGGGGCTACTGCCAGTGCAAAGGCCCTGAGATGGGAACGTGTTAGTGCCCACATAGTCTCCCCCACACTGCAGGGCAGTCAGTGGCCTGGCTGGTGGGAATGGTTTGTAGGTGAGATTAGATTGGAGCGAGTCTCCAAGCCGGACGGTCCCCCTGAGATCTGAGATCCAGAGAGAGGATGGTTTTTATCACAGGTGGCCACAGCGACGACCAGACACCCCAACTCTCCTCCACTGCTCTCTGGGAGTCCAAATTCTGGTTTGCAGAGATGGAACATTAAGGTCAAGAGAGTGGAGAGGAAGGGACGAATGTGACAGTCATTGTGGGAAGATCCACCGGGACGTGGGAGGAGATTAGACTCAGAGTAGGTGCAGTGGCTGGGGCCGAGATGATGTCAAGGTCCCCAGCCCGTGAATGCTGGTGTCACGGGCAGAGACGGGGAAGGGAGAGGGTGAGAGAGTTAGAACAGGGGGTGGTGGCTTGGAGGAGCCAGATCTGGATTCAAATCCTGGCACCACCACTTCCTGGCTTCACCACTCCGAGCCTCAGTTTCCCCATCTGCGAAACGTGGATAAAAACAGCGCTTTTTTGGGAGGACTGTTGTGATATTTCAATACTGCTTAGCACAGCGTTTGACACCTGATAAGCCCTCACTAGAAAGTCTTTTGAGGAAGGATGTGGTGTAGTGGGAAGGTGGGCAGTGTAACAAAGCAGGTAGGAATTCGGGTTAGGGAGTGGTTCCTAACTGGGGCGATTTTGCCCCCGAGGGGGCATTTGGCTATGTCTGGAGACATTTTTTGGTTGTCACATCTGGGAGATGCTGTGGGCATCTAGAGGATAGAGGCTAGGAATGCTGCTCAACATCTTACAGGGCCACACACTGCAGAGGATTATCCTGCCCCAAATGAACAGTGCTGAGGTTGAGAGGCCCTGAGCTAGGGGACAGAGAGCCTAATAGAATCTTTAAAATATTTAACAATTTCGTTAAATAATACGTTAGCATCATTTATTTATTTATTTATTTATTTATTTTGTGAGGGAGATGGGCTCTGAGCTAACACCCGTGCCCATCTTCCTGCATTTTGTGCATGGGACGCTGCCACAGCACGGCTTGATGAGCAGTGCATCCGTCTGCAGCCGGACCGGAACCTGTGAACCCCGGGTCGCCGAAGTGGAGCGCGCAAACTTAACCACTACGCCACCACCGGGCCGGCCCCTACATTCGTATCATTTAAATATTAAAACACATAAAAAGGTGTGAGAAAGGGCGCCGGCCGGGTGGCGCAGCGGTTAAGTGTGCGCGCTCCACTGCAGCGGCCCGGGGTTCACAGGTTCGGATCCCGGGCGCGCACCGACGCACCGCTTGGCAAGCCACGCTGTGGCGGCGTCCCATATAAAGTGGAGGAAGATGAGCATGGATGTTAGCCCAGGGCCAGTCTTCCTCAGCAAAAAGAGGAGGATTGGCAGATGTTAGCTCAGGGCTGATCTTCCTCACGCACACACAAAAAAAGGTGTGAGGGACGAATTTAACTTCTAGTTCTGTACTCAAATAATACCTTCCCCCATAAGTAACTACCTTTTTTTTAAGCTGGCTGTATATCCTTCTAGAATTTCTTTATGCAAACATAAGCGAATAGGAATTTACACTCTTATTCCCTATACTCCTCCCTTAACACAGAAGATGGCACATACGACCAACTGTTTTGTAGCCTGCTTCCCTCACTTTAATCATCATCTTGGGAATCTTTCCAAATCAATACAGTACATAGAGATTGTCTTCATTCTTTAAAAGTAAAAAGCTGGGGGCCAGCCTGGTGGCGCAAGCGGTTAAGTGCGTGCGCTCCGCTTCCGCGGCCCAGAATTCGCAGGTTCGGATCCCGGGCGTGCACCTACGCCCCGCTTGTCAAGCCATGCTGTGGCGGTGTCCCATATAAAGTAGAGGAAGATGGGCACAGAGGTTATCTAAGGGCCAATCATCCCCGGCAAAAAAGAGGAGGATCAGCATCAGATGTTAGCTCAGGGCTGGTCTCCCTCACAAAAAAAATAAATAAATAAAAAAAATAAAAAATTTAAAAGCTGCATGATATTCCAGATATTCCGTTCGTTTAACAAACCACTTACATTGTGCTATGTGCCAGGGATGGGTCTAAGCCAGGGGCCAGCAAACTACAGCCCCAGGGCCCAATCTGGACCACAGCATGTTTTTATGAATAAAGTTTTATTGGCACACAGCCACACCCATTTGTTTATGTGTTGTCTATGGCTGCTTTCCAGCTAAAACTATAGAATTGAATAGAGTGTCTGGCCTGCGTTGCTGAAGATATTTACTATCCAGACGTTTGTAGAGAAAGTTCACTGATCCCTGGTCTAAAAGCTTTCTATAAATTAACTTGTTTAATCCCCATGACAACCTATGAGGTAGATGGCATCATTATCCTCATTTTTCATCTGGGGAAACTGAGGCATAGAGATGTTAAGTAACTTGCCCCGGGGCACCCAACTTGAAAGTGGCAGAGTCTGGG